GTGAGGGCGGGCCCAGCTCTGCCACACAGTGACCACCCCGAGCTGGTGGCCCCGGGGAAGGTCTGCTCAGGCCCTGGGGAAGGGGGGAGGGTGCAGCCTCACCTGGCTCGCTCGTGAGCTTGGAAACCAGGACCCAGGCAGGGCGTTCAGAAAGCGGCAAGGGCGGTCGCTTTTTAGGGCCGGGAAGGGAAAGAACATTCGATTTCTGTTTCTTCGGTCGCCCACAGCCAGCACCTAAGCTGGGGTCCCAGGCTCTGGGAGGGATGCCGTGGGGAGGGGATTGGGTCCCAGCCCAAATCGGGGCCTGTCGCTCGGGCAGGGGCAGCTTGCTCAGGGCTCTGCGTGTCCTGGCGTAGAGATGACCGAGAAAAGGACTGTGGGGAGCTGGGCGTGTGGTGGTCAGCTGGGCCACCCAGGACAGGGCCAGCTCCCATGGGCGGGGCGGGGCACCCCGAGCAGATGCTGACCAGTGGCCCCCTCAGCCCGCCCAGCGGTGGAGAGCCCCCGGCCGTCTGTGAGATCTCCCCGTTGGTGTCCTACTCTGGAGAGGTGAGCGCCGCCTGGCGTCTGGGCTCTTGTGGGGTCAGGCCTGCCTGGTCAGGGCAGGAAGACGGTCGGGGAGAGGTGGGTCCGTGGGCGGAAAACCGCAGCTCTGCCTCCTTTCACGGGAGGGGGGGGCGGGGGTTGCAGAGGACCTTCCTGGACGTGAGATGGGGGTGGGGTGGAGCCCTCGAGGTCCTAGGGGGTGGGGAGAAGAGCCGGGCGGCCTCCTCAGCGAGGTGTGCCGGCCATTCCCCTCGGGGTGAGTTCTGTCCCGAGCCTGCTGGGAGGGCTCCTGCTGCCTGTGGTCTTGAGGTGACACCTGACCCTGTTCCTGGAAGCCCCTCCCCAGCTCCAGGCAGAATTGGGGCCTTGGGACCCCTCCTGGGGCCAAGAGGTGGACACTGGGCTTCTTTCCAGGGTCTGGAGGTGCACCTGCGAGGCCGGGAGTTCCAGTCCCCACTCCTCCTGGACGAGACCCGGGTCAGGGCATTGCAGCCGTGACACTCA